CATAATAACGCTTCCTCCAGTGAAAAAGTGCATCTCCTGCTGTCTCTCACATCAAAATCCAGCCACATATTTGTTTAGAGCTGTTTTGGACTGTTTAAACGGTGCTTGATCTGTGCTGATTTCTCTCCTGATTCAGACCAGACCACTTTTTCACTGGAGGAAGCGTTATTATAGATTATTTTGATCAGAAGCAGTGATTAAAAACATCTCAATGCTGGATTAGTTTCAGCTTTTGGCTTCTCCAGATGTTAACTGATGGACTGGAGTGCTGTGGATTACTTGTGGATTATTGTGATGTTTTTATCAGTTGTTTGGACTCTCATTCTGACGGCACCCATTCACTACAGAGACACTGATGCAATGCTACATTTCTACAAATCTGATGAAGAAACAAACTCATCCTAATCTTGGATGGCCTGAGAGTGAGTGATTTTTCAGCTCACTTGTGGGTTAACTGTTCCTTTAAGGGCTCCTCTAAGAAAAATAGCCATTATATCAGAGCATATAAGCCTTTGTATGACATACTCGCACTAAATATCAACAAAAAGCCCTCAACCTCGGTGGAAAGACTTACCTTCCATGGAAAAGTTTATTAGCCAACATGGCGTTCATAGATGTCTTGTATTCCAGATAACCACTGAAACAAAATACAGAGAGAGAGAAAAATAATTACAGACAGATTAATTATATAACAAGTCCTAACAAATTCTGCGGTAAACAATCAGTCCTGTTGGTTTCAGCGGTGACTCTTATGCAAACGAGCAGATACAAGCTGAATGAGAACATGATGTTTCTTGCACTTTTCAATTGTGTAAAAACAGTGCACTGCCGAAATGAGAAAATAATGTGTGTTAGCTTTCCTCAACAACTGCCCTGCATGTTTATGACAAAACACACGTAACGATGGGTTATATGCTTTACGGTGTTTGGTCGACTGTTCGGCCAGTTGGCTCTCCACAAGAGCGCATCGGTCACGCTTGAGCAATATTACTACGCTCTGCCTTCAAGCAGCTAGAATTAGAATAACTGGCTAATGGTGTGAATTACACAATTATGAGGTGCTGAACATTAAATGACTGCACAGTTTTTCCAGACCGATCTCAAACAAGCATTTGAAAAGCTTTAGCTATTTGCCTGTGTCACATAACAATATATTTTGGGTGAAGTTAAAGTTTTTTCATCTAATATTAATATTTTATTTTATTTTATGTCAGCTTGAATTCAATGAACAAAAATGTTTTTGATAGGTTCTAGTTTTATCTAACAATAATAACCGTGCTGTAGATCTGGAAAACAGAATGCGACTCCACTGACCTGTTTTTATCCATATATTTAACATGATTGATCTTCTTAGCCTGCACATATTTTCTGATATTCATAATGTTCAGTGATGATACCCACTCGTGCGTGTCTCCAGGCCTTCTGCATTCAGAGGCAGAGCACACTGTCCCACTCAGGAGCGAGAGCACATGCATGACTGATGGAAATGATGGACGCATGATTTGGCATTGCTAAAATCTCATTTTCACTGCCCGTCTAACATACTCATGTTTAAAGCAGAATGAAGAAAGACTGAGGCTGGCACTGATTGCTCTGGTCTAAGCACATCTGGTTTTCGGAGGCATCTGATCTAACAGAGGGTGATCCCTGTAACCTGTTCACAGATGTTTCCTATCACAAGTAAGTGGTGTAATACTGCACCTAAACACTATTTCATTCTAGTCTTCAATTGTGTTTATGTTAACATCCTTACTACACTGAAAAAACGCTGTAGGATTTACTTTGAAACTATTTTCCCCCAGAAATAGCATTTACAAATTTTGTTGTGAGTTTTTAGATATATTGACTTTGTTCATACATTCTTTGTTTAGCTCACGGGCAGCATTAAAACTGCATGACCGCCTGTACTCACCCTGCGATAAAAGTTGATCTAGTTCACATATTTACACGTTGGCGGGGACTTACCGGTTTAAAAAGCTGTTGTTCAGCATTAGCTTATTAGGTTTACATTGAAATGTTATGAATTAAATGCTTACATTATTTGTAATCTGTCTCTAAATGTTTGTATCTCAGGGGATACATCGCCCTTTTAGGGATATAAATAAAAAAAATATATATAAAGACTCTTGAGATTATGTGTCAGGGGATACATCGCCCTTTTAGAGGCCCTTTTATATAAAAAAATATATATTTTATATTTATATAAAAAATATATATATAAAGACTCTTGAGATTATGTGAAATCTTTTTGTGATCTTGACAAAACACATATTGTTGGAAAGGTCTGACAGTCAAGATTCCATATTTGGTGACTGTTTTGTAATAGAAGTGATATTTTGACAGAATGCTGCATCAAAAAAATTCAATAGAGTTTGGGTGTCACCCAGTGGTTATTTATGGTATAGCGCCCAAACAAAATCTCACAAGAACCACAATTTTTGTGACATCAACTTCAAATTTGGAACATAACTTGGTTAGACATATGGCTTTGATTTTATAGCAACTTTAGAGTGCAACATATTTTCATTAAATATTTATTTTATATAAAATAAAAAAATATATATATACTTTATATACTTTAAAAAAAAAAAAGCTTTCACTTCAGCAATAATCTGCTATGTGTCGTCTTTAAAAAGAGACCAACCTCAGGTCTGTATTCCAAAGCATTCAAGAATTACAATTATTTGTTTAAAATGTTGTAACAAGCATTGATAAACAAGTGTTCTGTTTTCAGTGAATTTATAACCCCAAAGCGGCAACGTATCCTAGGGGATACAAACATTAAAATCAAAAATAAGAATCAAGTTTTGAATAAAATCATGAAATTGTATTATTTGACTCCCAATAAGATGGAAAATAGCAATAAATAAATTTTCTGATGTCTCTTTGTGGTCTTGCCCTTTAAAGGGTTAAAGGAGTCATGAACTGAGAAATCAAATTTCCTTGATCTTTTGACATATAACAGTTCATTTTACTATAAAAACATTCTGTAAGTTTCAGAACTCGAAACCTTCTCGTTAGTTTAAAAACAGCTTTTATTGAAACCAAGCTCAGAAAACGACTCGTTGTGGAATGTGCCACTTTATGATGTAATAGTGTGGCTAAGCCCCGCCTCCACAGGAGAAGATCAACGCCTGCTTCTACATCACTGCCTCTTTAGCACCGCCCACTGAGATGCGCTTGTAGTAGAGGAGAGACGCAAACACAGGATTACTCCATCAACAGAACCTTAAAGGACAGAGGTGTGACCAAGTCGTTGTTTTGCAAGTCACAAGTAAGTCTCGAGTCTTTGCATTCAAGTCTCGAGTCAAGTCCCAAGTCAAGTCTCGAGTCAAGACAGGCAAGTCCAAGTCGAGTTGCAAGTCCTCAACTTTTAGTTTCAAGTCTTAAACAAGTCATTTGTGCTCTTTGCCCAAATTAGTGTCTCAGTATTAATTACCATATCAAATGTATAGTAATTTATATCAAAAAACGTATGCGCACAACTGAGTAGGATAAACTTTTTATCCGATAAGAAAAAATGCGCATAAACTACGATGGAAACACATTTACCGAATAAATTCCAAAAAAAACTAAAGTCATGTGACTATGAGACGGGATAGGTTGACTAACCAGCGGACCGATCTCGTTCACAGCATCTATATGTGGAATAGTTGTATCTCGGCCAAATATTGTCCGATCCTAACAAATCATATATCAATGGAAATCTTATTTATTCAGCTTTCAGATGGTGCCCATTTTGTTCTCTTTGACTCGTTGGATGGAAACGGTGCTTTATTCGCAAATGTTTTATGCGATATTCCAGTTTTGCGCATAAGTTAAATTTGCATCTTTGGATGGAAACATAGCTACTCACAGCAGCGGGCGTTTACTCGCGAGTCCTGAATGCTTCCCGCCTATAAAAACAGACCGCTCTGCAGAGAGGCTCAGAAACAGCATAGATTAAATTGTTTAAGGTAAAATACTTGCTAACTTTAAAAGTGAACCTCAGAGAACATTACAAAATAATTTTTAAAAACGCAGTTCATGGCCCCTTTAACTAAAGCATTGGGTTTACCTGCACAGACTCTTAGTTCAGATGGCTTGCACTAAATTTGAGCATTTTTTATTTTATTTTTATTTTGCCTCTCAGAGGTCAAAGCTTTGTGCTGTAACATGGACAAAACAAAAACAAATAATATTTTTATATTTTAATTTTCCATATAGTTTTTATTAATTTTTGTTTTAGTTTAGTTTGTTTTATAAATTTTTAGTACATCAAGTTTAACATAATGAAAATGAGAAATGTTGCTGAACTAAAACGTTCCTGTTTTTCTACATATTTCATTTATTTCAGTTAAAGTTTAGTTTCCTTCAGGTAACGAAAGATGGTTTACGGTTTTATTTCTGGTTTACAATAATAACCCTGAGTGTGATGATCTGTGCAGACAGCAGCTGGTCCTCCTCACACACCGCTGTTTGCTTTCACTCGTTAGACATGATTGCAGCGTCTGATTTAGTTTTGCAGCTCATGTTGAGTTACAGGTGATTTGGCCTTATACTGTAGGTGATCTCAGGGTTTCAGAAAAACAAGAGTCCAATCTTAAGCTGACTCTGGCAACATACACACACCACAATTTTGGGAATCATTTAAACACAGAAGTGAATGTCCTCAATTACAACTTAATGCGTGTACAGATGGCTGGCATTGTGATGCTTACAGTTCAAACCATCTAATTAAGTTTAAACCTGTTCGTGATTTTTTTCACAAAAGTAATCACCAATCACAGACAAATGTTTTCTCAAACCACCGTCAGCAGAAGCTCTGTGTTTTATTTCAGCTCATTAAACCGCATGCTCTCTCATCTGCTGCTAGACCACAGGGCTAACAGCAGAAAATCAAGTGGAGAAAGACTGTGTCAAAGTTTGAGAATGAGTCAGAGCACATTTCTCTAACAATCTGTCAGTGTGCAAAAGTAAATGAGTGACGACTGTATTTAGCTGCAGTGTGGACTGCAGTATTAAATTAGCAAATTTCCAAAGCTGCTCTATGTATTTTGTTGAACAACACCAATTATTATATAGCTGTAAATAATATTATGCATACATTATATTTAGAGAACATACATTACTGGTCAAAAGTTTGGAATAATTAAGATTGTCATGTTTTTGAAAGATGTCGCTTCTGCTCAGCAATACTAATTTGATCAAAAATACAGTAAAAATTGAGAAATATTATTACAATTTAAAACAGCTGTATTCTATGTGAATATCTGTTAAACTGTAATTTATTTCTGTGATGCGCAGCTGTATTTTCAGCATCATTACTCCAGTCTTCAGTGTCACATGATCTTCAGAAATCATTCTAATATGCTGATTTGCTGCTCGAGAAACATTTCTGATTATTATCAATGTTGAAAACAGTTGTGCTGCACAATATTTTTGTGGAAACCGTGATACATTTTATTTTTCAGGATTCACAGATGAATAGAAAGTTCAGAAGAACAGCATTTATTTGAAATAGAAATATTTTGTAACATTATAAATGTCTTTACTGGCACTTTTGATCAGTTCAATGCGTCCTCGATGAATAGAAGTGTTAATCTCTATTTTATCTTTCTTCCCTCAAACATCACGTGACACTGAAGACTGAAGTAATGGCTGCTGAAAATTCAGCTTTGTATCACAGGAATAAATTACATTTGAAAACGTATTACAAAACAACATTTTAAATTGTAATAATATTTCACAATATTGCTGTTCGTACTGTATATCATATAAAAGCAGCCTTGCTGAGCAGAAAATAATTCTTTCAAAAACAACTTTTGACCGATAGCATGAATCAAGACAGCAGTTTCTGATATAAAAACTAGGGCTGGGTAAAAAATATTGATATCTCGATATTAATCGATTCTCATTTTTACGGAACGATATCGATTCTTAAATCCCAAGAATCGATTAGTCTAGCCTGTTTTCAGTTAATGGACGGAACATTGAACGGCACTTCCCATCCAATAAATCGCAATAAGCATTGTGCTTTGGTACTTTTAATATGAAACAAAGGCTCAGATTTCAACTTCTGTCCATTGTATTGCAGAATTCAAACAATAAATGCCGTTTTGGCG